GCTTTCAATGGAGCAATCAACAAAAGTTTACTTTCTTCTTGACTCGGTGTGTAACAGTTCTTTTACTAATCTGAAGTTATACTCTATTTGAAAATACACATGAGGGATATATCAAAGGTTATTTTTCGTATCTACAGAGTTTCGACGGATGTGAAAACAAACAGGAAATCACTTTTGATTCTGGTCGAGTCGATAAAAACGAAAAGCTGAAGTCTCATTGATTTTCCCACACGATAAGAACAACTTTCAAATTAGCACCTATTGATGTAATTCAAAACGAAACAAGCATAATCCTAATTCGAGTTCTCTATATTAGTCAGTATCAGCCTCGATTGTACGTTAACATTCCGAGATTTTACTGAAATGGTCTTTCATTACCTCAGGCAATTGTACCAATTTCTTGCCTTTCTGTGAACAATTAAAAAGCTTAGGCCCGGCCTCAGAAGAACAGTTTAGTCAAAAATGAAACATATGCATCGACTTAGTGTTCAATTGAAAACGGTTGCCTTTTCGAATATGGAACTACTATACAAACAAGCCCCGTATTAAAAATGTAATCAGTACTCATGACGTTAGAAAATGTTCAAAATGAATCGAAGTATTATATTGACAGTAGACCACATTTCTTCGACAAAACGGCAAAATTTAACGTTATAAAAGAGTATTCGCGTAACCACAGGATTAAACTGTATAGAAGCACGAATGATACCAACCTCAAATGTTCCGGTCGACCTGTACTCGCCAATGGTCTAAAGTGAACTAGTCATGGTGACACATGTTGAGCTATTAGTATTGATAACTTGTGAAATTGTTTTTGTCAATAATTGTTGGCCACTTGATTGAGATAAGCGTGAAATGTATCATCAATTCGACAATGAATGAGGAATTAAAATGGCCGTGCATTTTTGGTCGAAGTTATATTAAATGAAAAGCGATCAAATCTTTTAAACCTATTTTTTTTTTGGTTTAATAGGAATAGAAGTGGAGAACGTAGAGGAGTGTGAGATCGAAACGGACTCAGCAGCGGCTGGCAACCGTTATCTCTATCGGCCCCAGGCCCTCCAGTCAGATTTCAAATAGAATCATCAAAAGATAGTTCCATTCTTTTGTGGGTTATATTCAGGTTCTGAAATTGAAGTAAATGAACACCAGAATATTGGAAATCAGTTTATATTACAATGCCGTTTGTTATTCGCTCACAATGAACCGTGGAATCAAATAAAACACACTGCTGGATGTTGCGACTGGGAACAAAGAAATTACAAAAACAACCGGACAAAAACTGACCTGCTTATCTCGTAGAAGAATTATTTTTACTATAAAGAGCGTTAATACCGTCATCAAAAACATAAATAACTAAGTTCTCTTAAATGAATGTTGATAAGTTTTGAACGATGCGAAGCGAAATTAGCTAATCGTTACGATACCATTCGATTTAGACTACACGCTACCTTTTATTTTGCATTTATTTCACGACATTATTTTTGCGAAACGACGATAAAAAAAAACAAGAATGAATTGGCATTTATTTGTGAGTTCTCTTAGAACATTTCTAATACTGTCAATGAATCGCGGTAATTTCTGTTTCATTGCCTTTCCATCGATATCGAGAGCGCTAGTGTTCATCGGGTGAAAGCGCGCTTTTGGGCCAATCAAAGGCACTACGAGTAATTCATACCATAATTGTTCTTAACGACTCCTTTACTAGCAATCAACGTAGAGAAACTTAGCAAATTTCATTTGATTTATGAAGAAGAAATTACCTTTTTAGTTCGTTTCCATAGAACGAGAGTTTCAGCCCACWCTTTGTCGACAGCCCGMAACAAGTCTACGTCAMGCTGGACTTGAAACAGATCGCAAAAACATGTTTTGTTGAGTGACTAGTCAATTATCGTTAAGTGACGTTGATAAGACACTGTTTTCATCGATACCAACACAGTAAATCATTTAGATGGAGTGATAGTCCACAGTTCTTTTGAATTTACAGTGAATTCCTGTGGTGAATATGGGGTATTTTTTAACCAAACGCTTCATGCCCACGAAACACGATCATGCAACTTTTTCAGCTCAATTTTTTTAGACAAAATCGAAGATCTTATTCTCAGCAAGGAGAGCAGTTCATGACTAAGGATAATTCAACATTTTTATTTTAAACTGAGCAATAATTTATACCGCATCGATCTTTTCCGCGTTTTGCTTAAAAACGTTCTGTCAGGGTTGTTTTCTAAAGAGTTGAATGCAAGTTTTAGATAATTCTATGAAGTATTTTTTTTCTTCAATCTGTTCTATGCGCTTTCGAAACCTTATATGGAGTTTCACTACTGAACTTGGCCGTTCTGTATTCAGTGGAGAATTGTCGCCTTTGATGTCCTGATCATCATGTCTGCTTATTTTGCCATGCTTTTACACAAGAAACAATTGCAATTAGCTAGGTAATAGTTAATTAATTGAASAGGTCAACTAAACACCAGAAAAACCACCAAAAAAAGAGACAACGAAAACAAAGCTAAATTTGTGCRCGCAAAGTCTCGATGTTTTCCAAATAGCTGTTCATGTTTGATCGCAATGTTCTCAACGGGAATGTGTCTTGTTTTTCCACTTAATATAATTTCAAATATCTAAAGAAAAAATCAAAGTCTTGTGTATACATCAGTGTATATGTCTAAATTGGCGTTTCGAAACCAGAAAAAGATATTATCAGAGACTGAGACCACAAAAACACTGACAATAGCCGAAACTGACTGTATCGAAGAAACTATTACACCACAAACAATCTACAAGTAATTTTGTATCTTAGAAGTAATGTTCATGTAGTAAAGAAACGACAAACTGCCATAAAATGAACAGGCAAACTCAGGGTTAATCCTTTACATAGCAACAGTAACCATGGAAAATTGAGCTTGTCCTGAATTCTCGCAAAGAGTGGACATACGTTGRGAAAGACGCCTTTCYTTTTATAAGGTGATAAAATTTTTCCTTTTCATCAAAATGTTGTAATTTACACTACTTTTCAAATAATAGTAATAATTTTGTACAAAATACACTGTTCCTCTTGTTCCAACTACATCCCGGAAGCATCAATCTCGAAAAAATACCATCTGTGACCTTAAAAACATAAACCCAATCTGTCAAGTTTTCATAATCAACTGCTATATAACGTCAAATAAGTAATTCCTAAGCATATAGACGGGATTTCAATCGACATGGTTTCGAAAACACGTCGTTTCTGACAGCTACATTAACTTTCTTTGAACAATTTTTCCTTTTTTCGGTTTATGTTTGTACAACTGGCGTCTGCTCACCACGAGGAGGGTTATTATRAACACAGGAAGGTCAACAAAGAACCAGTAAACACATGTTTTACCAAGGAATCTAATGAAACTAAAGCATTGAATAAGCCGTACCTACTTCAATGGACTATAGTATAATTAAGATTTCATTCGACGAGGWCTGCGTACGTATACATATGTATATTAGCTCGCGAGATGTCAGCGGATCTTGCTGTCAGTTCACTATTCAAAGCATAGGGGATGCAAATACAGACTGYGAATACAAAATAGATGAGTTCCGCAATCTCTTTTACACAGTTGTGTTTAAAATATACAGTAATTTAGGTAAAACTTGTGAGACGTCAAACTATTTTCAAGTGTCTTCTATGCTTGCAGATCTCTTGTATTTGCACGGATTATTCCTGAATAAAGAATATATTAATACGTGGTTTTAAGGCTAACACGGTGAAAATAGATCGCTCAAAGTATTATTCAACATTTACCGAAAGTCATCGAATAATTGCCGAACCAATGCGAATATTACTTGGATCGTTTGCTTCTACTCATAATTTGCACACCACTATCTCATTTGCATGATCGACACGTGTGAGATTCGACGTTATAAAATAAGACTTTGGCCCTTTTAACTCTTATGTTATCAAGGCGAACTACGAGCAGGGAAGCAGTATTGTAAAGTAAGATTAAATTCAGCGCTAGCACTGATGATTTATTTGCTAGCCGGTTATCAAGTTCCTTGTAGAAAGTTGGCGACATGAATTTTATCWTCTAARTGAGCTTCCTTCCCTAGGTGGCTTTAAGCCGCCATCGACTGAGGAATATCCCATATGGCTTTCTCCCCGAGTCTCCCAGGCGCTTAACTAGACTATTTTTCCATATGACGTCAAGTTAAAGCGCGTCTTCCAGTCTACGAAGTGGAATTATTTACTTTATACTAGATAACAGAAATCGTTTGAAAACTTTATACCTAATTATAGATCTAATTCCATGTAATATAGCTCGTAAACCCGCAGTAATTGTGCGATGAAAGTTCTGAATTAAATCTACTCTCATAAGAGAGTTTTTAATTCAAATTAGTAGACAGCAAAGACTGATTAAACGCTGTAGGAAATACTAATCACCCGACTTACTGGTGTGTACTGTAGAGATTAAGGATAAAGTACAATGGCAGACTTCAATTATTTTCTAGAAGTTCTTACCTTCTTTGGTCAGAATAAGCCAAACATTCAATGATATTGTCCATAGTCTCGAGAGCTGTACCACCCTGAGCATGAAGTACCTTTTCCAGTTGAACTGTCACAGTTATCGGGTATAAGTTGATGTGGAATTAGACTCGGGGAAGTGGTAACCGTTGAGTTTCAGATTGGAGGCAGAGACACTTTCAGCTCAAATTGAGTGGAACAATAGCCATAGAAAGCACTTGCGATGTGGACCTTTCCGTGTTGACTCTAGGAACCTTTTTGATTAAAAAACTCACAGAGAATCAATTTACTACGATGAAGAAATAAAAGCATAATTAGGAAAAAGTCATACGCAATTACATATCACCAATGACGAAACGCTAGAAAGCAAAAAAGTAATTAGAAATAGTTTTGACATATTGATCTCGCCTTGAGCTGTCGTGAGAATTGAGTTTGTTCAAACAGAACTGTCACCATGTCTATTAACTAGCAACCATCTGAATAAAAGATGCTGTTGAGTGGTRCACACTCACGAGTCTTGAYGRACCAGCMTTGGATGAAGASCTGCAACACGAAAGAGCCTGCGCATATTTAGTGAGGTCCGAAACCCAGATGGAATAATTGCACCGAATTGACGAATGAATCAACGATGGAACATTCAAGGATCCCAATGCGAGGGAAAACTAAAGATGCCGAAGCCGAAGCTCTGTTGAAATTACTTCGACAGGAGCAAGAGTTTCATAGTCGACAGATTTCAATACCGCAAATCCAACGAAAGCAGCCATTACCGTCGATAAGAGGCACGGCACATGATAGTGATGAACACTGCGATGATAGTGCGAATAATGGGGTTTTTATTAGTCAAATGAAAACTGGTCTTTCAAATCAAGACATTTGCTTCAGTGAATCACAGTTTCTGTGTAGTAATTCTAAAGATAGCCCGTACAACAACAATGATAACACAATTGGTGGTTATAGTGACATTCCTTCGCTTAGACTGAAGTCTTACGATTGGAAAAAAGACACCGACCATGTTTTATACCATAGATATGAACGACAGCAACGAAAACCGACTAAAAATCTACCACCACTAGGGCCCCAAGTTTCATCTCCAAGAGAACGAGACACGAGGCCATCTAGGCCTCTTCCATCTTCACCAAAACTCTGGGAAGACGATTAGCCTTTTCAAAAGCCATGAGATTTAGATTTGTACGCTAATATGGGATATATGCAGGGTTTTAGTGGATTAAACCCTGTCAAGCCGTTCCTAAGGGACGCACATGGCGACGCTAAGGGTCTTTTCTCTGGTCCCAACCAAAGAATTTCGCCATTATTTGACTGTTGTCAATTGGGTATCACATCTAATTCACTATTC